ACCTTCAGTAAGTCAACATTTTGAGCTTACTCTTGTTTCAAATGGGGGTAATATTAACAACTACCTTATTGAAGTCATTGTGACAATTGACAAAAGCAAGTAGAGGGAAACGTGTCTAAGCATCAGGCTGGGTGCACAGAGCACCCCGGGTGACCACAGACCCAACGGACACACGCCCCCTCTCCCGCTCCTCTGATCCCCCGGGAGAGAGGCCTTCGCGGATGTGGGGGGAGCCCCTTCCTGGGCTTTCTCCTCCCCCCGCCCCCATACCTCCAGGTCATCTATTCATTCATCAAACTCCAGCCAACCCGCCGGGCAGGCCTTCCTCCGCTCGGCCTCCACCGAGCGTCCCTATCAGCGAACCGCCACCGAGCGCGGAACAGTGACAAGTACAGCAAGTGTCCTCACTTACCTGCGTTTCAGCTCTTGAATGCAGTACTGGGTTTCCTCAGATGACGCGTCTGGAACAAGAGATGACAGCACGAGACCTGGCGTAGAACTGGAAGGAAGCCCGACTCCCAGGGGACCCCGGGAAGACCCTCTCTCCTGCTCCTTGGGGCAGGACCCTCCCTCTCCCGGGGACATGGAGCACGCGCACTCGTGGACAAGTTCATGCAGCGAACACATCCACTTAAACGGGGCACTTACGGGGCACTTAGGGTGCATCGGCCCCGGGTGCTCTGCTGAGCACTGAGGACGTAATGGTGTCACGACAGTGCCCTGCTCTCAGGGGGCCGAGAGCTTTGCAGGGAGAGCCAACGTTAAAGAAAGGCAGGATATTTAATAACAAGGGCGAGGCGGATTATGAAGAGACAGAGCGTGTTGCCAGAGCACGTTTGAAGTTGGGAATGTCGGGGACGCTGGGTGAGACAAGGATCACAACGCTGGCTTCCTTCCCAATTCACTTCTAAAGAGTGAATTTTATTGTTTCTGCATCTAGAACTCCCACGACCATTAAAAGGGAGAGATGCCTCCCGAGGACGCCACTGACTTCCGTGCCACTTGGCAGTGCAGTGTGAGAAGAGCCTATGGCTTCCCACACACGCGCGGCTCTGGGGAAGGATCCGAGGCTGCCTTTCTGATGACCGAGGCGTCCGTGCCTGCGTCGGGGGCTGCTGAGGACGTGCGAGTGTACGTACGTCCACGATGGAGAACGGCGCAGACGTTACCCCGTAATACATATATATCTCGGAGGCATTAGGAACCGGGCGGACGCGGCCGCCAGAAGCTTTCAGCGTTTGGCTCACCCAGCCGTTCATTGGAACCAAAAAGGCCTCCTGGGCCTCTACGCCAGGAGCTCCGGGGCCTGCGGCCAGGCCCTCCCTGGGCTGAGCCGGGCCCCCACCGAGGGCGCCCCAGCCCCGTTCGCCTGGCAATGCGGCAATCGGAGAAATTAAGTAACTGACTCTCAGGGCGTCACTTCTGGAAAGGAGCGGAGAGATGGACTTGCTGTGCGTTGCAGCGCACAGGGACAGAATCTGAAAACGCGTTTCCAAGGTCCCACCTGTGATTCTTAGTTTTATTTAAATCGCTTTTAAAGCCAAGGGGACAATGAAATGCGTGTGCGAGACGACCAGGGACACCCGCGGAGGAACCTCTCGACTCAAGGAAAATAAACGTCACACGCTTTCCCTTCTTTCTCTGGAAACTGCCGCGGTGCATCTGTTTTCCTCCGTCATCAATTGTGTGAGGCGTCGCTGGTCTCAAAAAGCGATGCCGCAACGGCCCCACGAAGGTTTGGGTCCAGGCTTTCGCGTGTTCGTCCAAGCTAGTGACACCGTCGTTCAGTTGTGACGTCGTGGCCTCCGCCTGGCGGGGCCGCGGTCGCACCACTGAGTAACGCAGGTCAACATGAACGCCTGGTGCTGACTCTGCTGGTTATGCTTGTGAAACAAAATTTGTAACTACCCAGCACCATCTTGCACCTGAGAGTCACTGGCCCTACGCCCGCAGGTCCACAGAAGGGACGCCCACGAGCGGTCGCGCCCCGCAGCCCCGCAGGCCGCGCGCACGGAGCTCGGCTCGCCCCGCGGTCCCAGGCGCGGGGAGAACCTTCACTCGCTCCGTGAAAAGAACTTCCAGCCGGTGCGCAGCGCTGTCAGCGGCACATGGCAGCGACGCGAACCCACCTGGTGCCTCAATCTTAGACTTTGCACGACTTCCGAGGACTTTTTCTGGGTGCAGACAGACAGCGACGCGCCGAGGGGAACAGGGGCCCGCGGGCGTGCGCCTCGCTTAACGCGGACCCCGGGGAGCGCCTCGTCCCGGGCCGCCCGAGCCCCCGCCGCCTGCGCCGCTTCGGCTCTCGGCGCCCGCAGGGGAGCAGGGGGCGACGTGGGTGCAGAAGGGCTGCTTCCGCGGGCAGCGTGGTCAGTGAAATAAAGGACGGCCGCCTCCAGGGGGAAAAAGTCAGCGGTACATACAAGTTTTATTATGCTTGCTTTTTAATTTTATATTTTATTAGGATATTATACAATTTTCAAAGCTAACATCAGAGATTTTTTAGTATGTGTATTTAAAGCGTAACAAAATAAAAGTATTTCACAAAAGAAGTCCGTGTTACAGTACTATTGAAATATGAGGCATAGAGCGATTATGCACTGCGGGTTATAGGCATCATACATTCACTTTAAAGGGAAAAGAACATTTAATATGGATAACATTTTGGTTAAAATAAATACCATGTAAATGTTAACAGCAACACCTGAAGTATATTGATACAAGAAAGGTGTTTTGTAGCAGGCCGCTGTGCAGAGCGGGGAGGCGCTCCGGGAGCGGTTGGGTGTCTTCCTGCATTTACATCATTGCACGTTGCGGGGTCCTTTCTGCACATGGGGGTGCCCTCCATCCACTGCTCCCAGCCTCGGCTTACAAGGCAGCGTCACCCCGCATCCTCCCCTGGGGAACCGGTACCGACGTCTAAATAAGGCTTAGAATCAGATGTACCTTTCATTTTACTATTTTTCGAGTCAACCCGAATGTCTTACTTAATCAATACAAAATTCACTTACAAACAGAAGCATATAAAGAATACTTTCTATGTGATTATAAAAAGTAAAACTTCTAATGATCATAATTCTTTGAAATGATCCCACTCAAAATTAAAATTTGTTTTTTTACACAGTGGTTTCTTCAGGAAAAAATAAGAACACTTAGATAAAAAAAAAAAAAAAAAAAAAAAAAAAAAGATAGAAGAGCCAAAATAAAGCTTGCCCATGCAGCAAATAGTAACGGATTTCCCTGACCACACGGCTCTTCCCGGCTCGTTCCTTCCGGCGGAGCGTCCCTGGAAAGAAAAGCTTAAACCTTTGCCTGCATGTCACCGCGAGGGTGGAGCCAGCGAGAGTGACATCCACAAGGGTTTACGAGAAAGGAGCACCTGTCCCGAGTGAAGGACATTCGTCCCAGTCAGCCCCCGGCAGGGAGGTGCACACAGCACGAGTGGGCCACAGACGCAATTCTAGTCCTCGTTCTGCAGACGGAGCTCCGTGGGCGTGAGATGTGCTGGCAGCCACCGGGATCCGCGGGAAGCGGCTCCGGCCCTGGGAGGGAGGAGTGGCTGCCCAGCCCGAGAGGAAATCCCTCTGCCCGCGCAGAACCAACGCAAACCCCAAGCCTGATGATGCCACTTGGGAAAAGGAACAGTTTATACTTTTTTGCCCTTTATACATTTTAAAAGTTTATAAATGACTTGGATGTATGCAAATTGTGGTAAGAAAAATACTTACAGGAAAAAAAACCAAGCCCGGCAGTGCAGCGGGCCACAGGCAGGTGGTGTCCGAAGAGAGGCCTCCAGCGGGCGCGAGTATCCGTCGCAGGTCCCGGCGGCGCGGCGTCCTTCAGCGGTGCCGGCCCGTGGCCTCTGGCCTCACGGTGCTGGAAGGACTGGGGACCACGCACTCGAGGGCGCCCCGGGAAAGACCGCGCCTCGCCCCAGGTGGGCGGCTCTGCCCCTTCCTCACCCTCAACACACGGTCGCCACCTGTCATCGTCCTGCCTGAACACAGCGCTCTGCTTAAATGCGTCACCACAGAACTGTTAGCAGGGAAAAACTCGGGCTGCGGGAACGGCCAGTCTCCATGCCGTTAAACCACCTCAAACGACAGCCTTGTGCACAGCCCCGAGGCCGCGCCCGTTCGCAGGCGCCGCTGGCGACCTCGCGCCGCCCACCCCGCCCGCCCAGCTGGACAACACGCAGGACACAGGGCGGGCCACGCGGTGAAAAATTTCGGAAAAATGTTTTCGATCCAGGGAGAGGGGTGAGCTCCAAATACTTTTTAAGAGTATCTTGTTGTCAGAGAACCTGAAATAGTCATGGATAAAATGCACATACAATATAAATAAGAGGGTAACTTGAAGAATATAAAAAAAAACTTTCTGAAGGGGACCAATCAGAACTTCAATAAAATCTATGAATAAAAACATATGCTTACACTATTGTGTACAATTGTGAGTGGAGCATTTAAATGTATAAAGAAACTGAAAGAGAGCACTGAAAGGTTACTGAAAGGGTATTTTTCAAATGTACAAACAATAATAAAAACACACAAAAAAGCCTTGGGCAAAGTGCAACCTTCAAAATTACTGTCACAACAGCCAAACAAACCCTTAACTGGTTTTTATATGGATTCATTTATGCCATTTTAATGCAAAGAGAATATCAAAGCTATGAAGACAAAACAAAATAAAGTGAAAAACTCTTCAGTGTCTGACTCACATTTTGTCCCCAAATGTTTTCACATTTAAGAGTTGCATTTTCAATGTATAAGCGAAGAATTGTAAATGTTTCTCAAATACTTTAGGTTGACATTTACCTTAAGAATTATTTAAATGCTACAAGGCTAAGAACTAAAACACAGACGTCAACTTTTAGAGATAAAATAATCACCCAAGTTCACAATTGTGTTCATCTCCACTGCCCGCGAAGGGCCGGAGGCGCGGCGCCCCGCCCCGCCCCGCCCGGTGCCAGGCGCGCCGCTCGGCAGGGCCGTCCCCGCCCGCGCCAAGGGCCCCTAGCGTTTGGCACCGAGAGTCAAGCTGAACACAATTTCTCCGCACAAAACTCTAAATAAGGATACAAGTCTTCAGCCGTTAATAACTATCATGTCCCGTTTACTCTCCTAGCATGCAATTCGATTATTCCAAAGTCATTTGGGCTTTGCAAGAAGGCGACTTAAATTGGTACAAAATGAAGCTTAGAGGACTGGGGAAGGCGCCGGGCGCGCGAGCTCCGGCGGGCGGGCGGGGCGGGCTGCGCGCACACAGGGCGGTCGGCTCGCCGCCTGGGCGCTCAGCTGCTCGCGGTGCACGCGTGCATCCTCTTGGCAACGTCGTACACGTAGGTGATGTCCGGTCGCTTCTCGGGGTCTGGGTTGATGCACATGTTCACCAGCTGCCGGAGCTACGGAGACAGGACACGGGCGCGTTACGGGCGGACAGAGCCTGAGCAGCTGGGGTTGGCGGGGAAAGCGCGTTTTCGGCTACGTACTCCTTTGCCCAGAAACGTACGTGACTGCTGTCAAAGACCTCGCAGTTTGTTGAATGTTCTAAGAAGCATGTTTACGGGTGAGCATTAATGGCAAGCAAGGGGCATTTTCCAGATGAAACGCTCCCCTTTGCGCCACCGTGGGCGGAACCTGAGAACATCGTGCTAAGCGAGATAGGTCGGACAGAAAAAGCCAGGAACCATATGATTTCACTCAAACGTGGGGTGTAAAACTGAAAACGACAGATGAACAGACAAGAGAAACAAAACCTCATGGACACAGACAACAGCGTGGTGGTCACCAGCGGAAGGGGGTGGGGGGAGTAACGGGCGAGGGGACCGACCGCGTGGTGGGGGCGCAGCACACCTGCCTCCGGCCGGCAGGCCCGGCCCGCACGCACAGGCCAAGGCTCGCGGCGCCGTGCCCCCTGCGTCACGCTGTTAGCCAGTGTCCGGCGGTGAGTGGTACTTCTTCCAAAACCAGGAGCCAGGTTTTGGGGCGGGGGGGGGGTTCACCTTGTAAGTATGTCCTTAGGAATAATTCAGATCTTTTGAAAACTTGCATCAACTTTTTCTGGCCAGTAGAGTAGCACTTTTTAAATTATCCAGTTACTGTAATTCTGCATAGTCATCAACGTCTACCATAAAACCTGTTCATCTAGAGGAAACAGCAGCAGGGTGACCTGCGCTTTGGGCCAGGGAAAGGCGAGGCCATGCCCGGCCGGGAGCGGGCGGAGGGGCGGGCCGGAGGGGCAGGGCAGGGAGGCGGAGACCAGGCCGCGACGGTCTGACCGCGCAGAAGCCTTTACAAAACCGGAGCAGAAAGAGCTGTTTAATTCAGATGCTGAAAGGAAATTTAAAAAGCAGCATACAAACATTTAAATGAGACAAAGCACAGAAAGTGAAAATAAAATGAATTATTTATAACATACCCAAAGGATTATAAAATCATAAGCCATATGAAAATTAATGACTATTTGTTGTCAATAAGGTGGGAAGATCCTAATCTATTTTGACCTATGTATTTCTGAAGAAGTATCAAAGCGTACAGGTTGGTACCAAAAACGTGACCCAGACGAGCGTGTTCGCAGGCGCTGTTCGGGCGCTAACCCGGTTGCTCCCAGGCTCCGGCGCGCGCAGGCAAGGGCGACAGGCTCTTTGTGCACTACAGCTCCCGGCCAGCAGCCCAGTCCCCCGCAGAGTAATGAAGGCTGCAGCGCGGGCCCTGCATCCCCTTCACCCCATCTCCATCCCTCCGAGACCAATTACCACGTCGGCCTCCCAGACGTGCCCAGCCCCCGCCTATTCAAGCGCACACTTCGGCACCCGGAGGGGTCTGCTGCATTAAAGCAGCCCGTACCCGGAGCTTTAGACATTCATACAGAATGATTAGGTGCATCCCGCTTGCAAGCCGTGTCGCAGTGACGGATGGTGTCAGGGGGGCGGGGGGGGGGGAGCCGCCTCACCCAGATGTGAGGGAACACCACGTTTGTATCACAAATGAAGCTCCGTGCGTGTCCTTCCAAACCTGGGAGAGTCACAGAGTCCCCTGGTTCCAGAGGACCCCACAGGACACGGGGACAGGGCCCCATGCTGGACGCATGTCTTTAAGGAGCAAGTCCCCAAGGTCACCTCAGAAGCATAAATGGACAAAGGGCCCACTTAACTATTTTTTTAAGCAGAGATGGAACTTTTGAAGCTTACAGATCAACTCTTATGTGGCAACTTTTAAGTGAGGAGGTCAACTGGTATCATAAATGGTGAGAATATGAAACTTACTAAAACCGTTTTAGGAGAGAAAGCCAAATTCTGTCAGTATGTTTGAGAAAACACACAACGCTGAGATGATTTTAATAAGCCGTGCAGCTATGTATTATATTTGGTATTAGTATATGTCTTTTTCTACATTTTAAAGTATTCTCTTCTCCCCTCGCATTGATTACATAATTATAAGGACTACAAAATGTGCGACACATTTACCTCCAAACATAACTGGTGCCACATGGTCGAATGTCCCCCATTTCAATGTCCCCGGGACAGGGTGCTGGGAACAGCCTCCCAGCACCGATTTAAACGGCATCAGCCAATGCTGGGCGGGGGCACCGGGGAATTCACACAGTTCTGTTAAAAGCAGTGAATCAGCAAATGTAAGACAGAACCATTTAGGTTGCTCGAATGAATAAAAAAGTTTTATAAACTTAATTTGACTTCAAAATATGTAAAAATAATCCCCTTTATTCTTTTCATCTTTTTTTCTTATTTACAGAAAGTAGCTCTTTTATGAGCTAACACAAGGGTCCTGTGTTTTGTGACTGACCCGACTTCGTTAAAAAGCTTTTTAAAGCACATTCCGAATCCAAATAGAAATGATTCATAAAGATTAGGTAAAAATGCCGGCTACCGTTTCTAAAGCTTTCACGTGGCGTCTTCCTTTCCTTGAGGGCGGCCGTCGGGGCGTCAGGGACGGGCACAGTCCTGCAAACTCGAGCGCTCCTGTGGCTCGGCTCCCGGGCGGATGCGTAAGAAGAACGCCCGCCCTTGCGTCTCCTCCTCTCGTCCTGTCACCGGTCCTGGCCCCTGGTCACCGCGCGATGCCTGCGGGTGCTGGGCCCCGCTGACTGCGGGACTCGGGTGTCTGACCCAGGGCGCGCCACCCCCGCGCCCCGCCGCCCCTATTTGCCCCCGTGAAAGGGAGGGCGGCCTCGCCCACTCGCCCACAGAGGCGCCCTGGGATGCGTTGACCAAAACGGAGCGTCCGAAGTCTGAGGACAACCCTGTGCACCAGCGCTAGTCAAGCCTGTGCACGTTTATTCTCAAAAATGGCCCGCAGACACCTGGGACCCTTTCAGCTGAATTAAAATTTACTATTATTATCACTCTGTCGTTCACACGGAGCCAAGCAGGAGAAAGCGCCGTGGCCCCTGTCCCAGACGGGAGTGACGCGGGGCCTCTCTGCTCGGAGCGCCTCCAGCGCCTGGGGAGCAGGAGGGGCCCTCCGCTCCTGGTGGCCCCCCAAAACCGGACGACAAACAGGACAGGCCCGCAGCACTATCTCAGGAAGGAGAACGAAACTAACGGGAGGGAGGCCGAGGAGCCAGAAGCGGCATTTCAGAAAAGGCACGCGGGTCCCTAAAGACAGGGCCACCCGCCAACCCTCTCGCGGCTCCACAGGGCGGCCCACGGGGGTCGCACGGCCTGTCCCTGGTTCAGCCACAAAACTGACGCTTAATGAGCCCGTCCTTTGATGGAAAGTCCAGCTTAAAAACTTCATACTCCAGTCTTGGCTGTTCCGCACACTTGGCCACGCAAAAGCGGTAAATCTGCGTGGAGTTCAAACGAGCCGAGCTAGAGGCCTGCCCCATAAAGACAGGTTTAAGGTCGCGCTCAGGTGTGGCAGCGCTGACTCTGTCTGAGGGTTTCTTTTATTTTTCTATCATAAATTCTGAATAATTATTTCACAGAGCTCCCGCTTAAGGAGAGAAAATATTTATCAGCACATCTGCACTTCAAAGCTCTCGCTCTGAGAACTTTTCTGCAGAGCTGCGCAGGCAGAAGCGGCATTATTAGCCCGCACCTTCTACATCTCATTCTGCAGGAAGAATGCGTTGCCGTGTTTGCCCAGTCGGTGCAGCTTTCCGTCTTCCCAGGCCCAGCAGATTTCACCGCTGGGAGGGAGCGGACTTGTTTTGTTTTTTATCTCTGGAAAGCACCCCATACAACACGGTTTGCTTGGCCTCCCTTTTTGAAGCCGGGAACGCGGTTGGGGGGCGAAAAGCCTCGATGCTGCCCCAAGCGCCTGCCTCGCACCCGGTCTTGGCGCAACGACCCCGCGGGCAGGTGCTGGCAGGGCGCGCGCACGCGCGCCCCCGTCATTACAATCCCGCCGCAGGTCGCCATGGCAACCGCCCGCGGGGCCTCGCACGGCTCGGCAGCTCCTAATCAGCCAGCATGTGAAATGCAAATGCAGACAGTCTGAAAATTAGTCAAGAAGAATAGGGGATGAGGACGCCGAGACGTGAAATATTCATGCGCTTCGCGGGGAAAGGCAGCAGCGTGAGTGACACAACAAAGCGGGGCGCCTGACACCCGCGCGACCGTCCTGCTCGGCGGCCGGGGCTCTGAGGCCGGTGCAGGGAAGGCCGGGATTCTGTGCCGCCCCCGACAGAGCAATTCAAACGGCCAGCGGAGCAGCCGGAGCAGAAGACGGACATGCTGCTTCCAGCGACCGCCCCGCCGGGGAAGAGCGCAGCCCCGTCACCCACGCCCGCGCTGCGGAACAAGGGCCCGCCAGCGCCGATGGGCGGCCTCTAAGCTCCCAGCCAAGGGGACGCTCGCGACGTCCCAGGGCCCCCAGCGCTTTCTGTGCAGAAATTCTGTAGGATGTTCACTGTTCAGGTTACACCGACTCAGTTTTCCCTGCACAAAAACACACTGAGCGCCGTTCTCTTCAAAACAGAGAGAGGGACGCGCGGCCGGCCGCTGCGCGAGTGAGCGCCACGGACGCTTTACACCCGCCCTCGCGCCTCCCTTCCTCCTCGGGAGAAACCGGGCGACTGCGCACGCGGAGGTGAGGGGGCCGCTCAAGCCCGTGCTTCCTCCGCGTGGGCGGCCAATGAGCTTCCAAAGGGGCGCTGGGCGCCCGAGGTGGCGGGGACCTGCTGTCCCGCCAGCTCCTTCTAAACTGGCAAAGTGGGGACGGAACCGGCAAAATGAGGACGGAACCGGGGAGGCCAGGGCCTTTCCAGCTAACACAGGAGACGCTGGGTTGAGCCAAAACAACTCATGTGAACCCGGCACCAAAGCGAGTGCGGTTTCAGACCCCGATCTTGGCTAGGTGGGAGGGGGGGGGCGGGGGAATGGCCTCAAAGAGCCCCTCCCACCCCGCACACTGACGCACGCGGCGGAGGAGTCCGGCGCGACGGTGCGGTGCAGGCAGGACAGGTGCTGTCGCGAGAGAGGGCAGAGCGGGACGCACAGGCCAAAGGGCAGGCGGCGGAGGGACGCCCGGGTCGGGTTTTGAAAACCAGGAACAGGAGGGGAGCTCCGCCGGGAGAGCAGGTTCCGAAGGCCGGCGCCCCCGAGGGACGGGGAGTAACGAAAAGGGCCCCTCGTGCCGCGGTGCTGGAAGCCCTCCCTGGGTGCCCGGGGCAAAGGGGCGTTTGTTAGCGCCGCGCGGGTGTCGGCAGGGACAGTGGCCGGCCTCGCGGCCCGGGGCGACTTACTTCCTCCGAGTAGTGGTCCGAGGGAAGCGGGGGGTAGTCGCACTGCTCGATCTTCTTGCACAGCGAGTACAGGTTCATCTTGTCGCCGTAGAAGGGACTCTGCAACGCCGCCATCTGCAAAACGCCCCAAGGACAGGGCACAGTGACGAGGTCACTCCAAAGGCGGCTTGGCCAGGCGCTCACGCGGACAGGAAGGAACCCGTGCGCTCGAAGGAAAGTGAGCTGGGCCTTTCGATTCTCATGAAAAGCTCTTTCTGGCAATTACTTAGTAACTTCTAAAAATCTTACTTCAATTTTTGGTTATTTCCCCCCAACATTTAAAATTCCCTGAAGAGGAGAAATGGTGAGCAATGTTTCTTTATATACACACATGACATAAAACAGTAGGAAAAAGAACATGAAGTAACTTAAAATTCTTTGTCCCTGCAACGCCATGAAAGCACTGGGGTCATCTCGTGACCGAACAGACCTCGACGGTTCACGTCAAACAGGCAACGGCCAAAGAAGAGCAGAAACAAAACCAAAGTGAACCCCGAGGCCCTGTCTGGCAACGGCGCAGGGAAGGGGAGGCGCGGCGTTTTCCCGGGGAGAGCAGCTTCGGTGGGGAGAAGACCGTCCGACTCCAATAGCTGGTCTCACGCAGGTCGCAGGGACTCAGAGCTTTTTATTTTTTCTTTCCATGTCGTCTCAAAAAAGCGCTCAAAATGTTCAAAAGCCCTACGACTCAGGGACGCTACCTCGAGGCATCCAAATGAGGTTTTTAACGCGGGGGAGGGGGGAGCGCGGAATGACTCCAAGAATGAACAACTTTTAAAAAGATATTATTGAATTTAAATGTATTTCCAGATAAGGTTCTACTTTGACATTTAAAGGGCAAGCAAGGACCGCAGTAAGCAGGGTTACAACTAAAAATTCAATTTGAGATGTTCGCGTCCTGTCCGGAACCTCCGAACCCTCTGAACCGCGGCGGCAGGGGCGCGGCGGCGCCGCAGGCGGCCCTGCAACCAGTCACCCTTCTCCGCGCGCGCTAATAAGTTTGATTGGGGGAGGACAGTGCGTACACTCCCCAGACAGGCGGAGCGCGTGTGAAACACGCCGGTCCGCGCCGCGCTACTCAGTGGGCGTCCGCGGGGACAGGACAGCTGAAAATGGCTCTCATCTGTCTGCGGCGGCCCACGGCTTAACCCCTTCGCAGCCGCGGCGAGGGGGCCGGCCTGCTCGGCCCGCCCGCAGAGGGGACGCACGGCCCCCGGGCCCCGGAAAACCGCCTCCGCGGGAGCTGTCCCTTGGGAACGAGGGCGCGTGAAAATCTGAATGTCCCCAAGCACAGAAGATGCCCCATCGCGGAGGGTATGTCCAAGGGAGGGCCTCCCAGCGTCATCCCATTTTTGGTTTTTGTTCAAAACGCAAGGGCACTTAGGGACGAACCGGACTCTGACGGGGTTGGCCGTGGGTGTCCGCGGCTGGGTCCGCGACCTACCCCCGTGTGCCGGGGTTCCTGGCAGGACTGCTGTCTCAACACTGCAGAGTGTTAAAAAATAAAAGAAAGAAAGAAAGAAAAAAAAAAGAAAGAAAAAAAAAAAGAAAGGGAACATCCCCTAAGGAGTTAAACAGGAACGGTCTATTTTCATGCATCTCCTGCTTTGACAGATGAAAAATGTCAACTGTCCTGTTTTTATTTTCCAGCTTTTGCACTATTCATCTGGTTCATTAGTGCATCTCGGCGCTGCCCTGACAGCTGCTCGGCCGCGCGCCCGGCAGCTGAATTTTTCAGGCTAATTTGATCCTCCGCACTGAGGCGGCCGCGGGATGATTGACTTGCTCCCTGACCTCCAGGGTCCGACTTTCCTGATTAGTATTCCGGGGGCGTGGGAGGGACGGGAGCCCACTGTCTGTCTTCGGGGCTGGTGGCAGCTTTCTCTTTTTTTGAACTGTAAGCCACCAACCTACAACCCTGGAAGGATGCGGTTGCTGAGCTGAACAATAAAGGAAACGTGTAGAACCGACTTTTCCATGTAAAGGGCGTGTAGCAAAAGCACAGCATCTCGGTTTTAATTAGTAAAGTCTACTTTGTTGCATATCAATTAAAACGGCACTGCCAGGGCTTTTTTTTTTTTTTTTTTTTTTTTTTGAGGTTTCAGGAATATTTGAAAGTCTAATTTTCTGAGTTTCAAATACATTTTCAAAAAAAGGCTTCCGACTCCTTTATTGTAAATTCTCAGTGGGACGCAATGTAAAATACCTAGGGAAATCTTAGGGCCGATTTTTTAAAGCTCAATTACTGGGTGTTTCCAGGAAAGTGATATTAAAACCTAACTGGAAGCAGATACAACATAAATGTAAATTAAATGTTTAGAAAAATTCTAGTTCTGCCAAGTGACTTGCATGCGGGAATTGAGAAAATGCACCAACATGAAAACTCATGTTAACGTGAGAACTACCTGAATTTAAGACCATCCACGACACAGAAAACTCGTGGACACGGGAGAAGAAACGATGTGCACTTGGGAGATCACCTGGAGGACAGAAGAGCGGGCCTCTGCCTCTCAAAGGCGAATTCAGAACGTAAAGAACGGCTGCAGTTTGACAGGAGAGGCTGCTGGCCCTAAAAGAATTATGCAAACTTCACAAAAAACACTTATAACTTCAACCGAATGTTTTCATTGCTAAATTTAATCGCATCAGTGGGATTCAATGCGGCTGTTTATTTTAGGTGTTTGAAGGGAAAATGTGGCCTTGGTAATATCAGACTATGGCCTGAAAGAATCAAAGGTGACCTAAACAGGTATAAAATGTTTTAAAATGTATAGTGACTTTTAAACATTATAGTAACTTAATATAATCAATTTAGTTCTTTTTAACATTGTACAAAATTATTAGCAGAACAAAACACAGTAAGCATAACTCTTCTAATCTCATATGCATACATAAAAATATTTGTTATATAACTAACTCATGACTTCTTATAATAAAAATTTTACTAGAGATGTAATTCAAGAACATTTAAAAAACCTTCCTTTTAAATAATCATGAGTCACTTTAGTAGGGAGAACAAAACAAATGATCTCAAAATAACTAATCTCTTAAAATTTGGAAACTTGGAACCACAATCAGTAAAATAATAATTAAAGATCATGGCACACGTTAAAAAAAAAAACAAAAAGCCCACTCTCTTAGGCGCCACTTCCAAGTAGCGGGGAGCAATGACAAGCGATGGCCTCGCTCTGTGTTGTATTTACATGAAGAGGCCAAGAGACACGATATAGAGTAAGAAATAAATTGGTTTCTACGACTTCCTTTCCTTTGTATACATTACACCAGGAAGATGACTCCATGTATTCTTTCCCTTCATTTCATTTTATTAAAAGAGTAACTGAAAAGTATGCTCATTTTAAAGTGACCCCTTTAACTCAAAGCCTAGAACCCGGGGAAGACTGCCCTTCAATAAGGTGACTGGGTCGCTGGCCAAAGGTCCCTCCTGCTGCCTCAGCCTGCGCGGGGCGAGGGCCCACCGAGGTCACGGCCCCGCAGTGTCTGCCGGGGTCCCACCTCCAGGACCCGGTGTCCCGTCGGCGCACTGGCAGCCGCAGAGCAGAGCGAGTCCTCCGTGGAGCTGGCCCAGGACAAGCTGTCACTCGTGGGGAGGAGACGAAGCGGCAGCCTGGAAGCACGACTGGCCGGCACGCTCTGCTCCAAGCCCGGCCGCTCCGTGCGGAAGTGCAAAAACGGGCAGCGACAAGGCCTTCGCGGAGCCTTCGTAGTGTGAGCCCATCCCCCACGCCCTCCTGCAAGGCACGGAGGGCAAGTCTTTTCTCAGGTGTTCACATGCATATTTTTATGACTGAGAGATGCTGGAAAACAGCAGGTTAACGTAAACATTTAAAAATAAAAATCTTATGAACAGAACAATTAAAAAAATATATTAAACATGCAAGAATGTATCATTTACTAACTTCTATTATAAAATCAGTTACCAACTCAATGAATTAACTCTCCATAATCAAAACCTTCCAATCGTCACCCAGGAAAAACAGGCGCCCGCCGCAGGCACGGGGCACGGGGCACCGGGTCTCAGCGAGGGCCACGACCGGGTGGCCGAAGCTCACCCGCAGCACCCACCTCGTAGAGGAGACAGCCGAGGGACCAGATGTCGGACTTGAAGTTGTACCCGTTCTCGTGGATTCGCTCGGGCGACATGTAGTACGGCGTACCCACTGCAGCACAAAGCGGGGGAGACAAGAGGGCATGACATGAAGGTGCCGCTGGGGCAAGAGACCACTTTCCAAATTCTGGATTGAAAAGGCCGCCAAGGCGATTATAATCAGAAAACGGTTCTGGAGAACACTCTTCCGTCCCCTCCTCACTCCCTGGCCCTCACGCAGCGCTTGGACGCCCACCCCTGCTAGCAAGGGCGGGGTGGGCTCGGCTCCGATCCCTCTCCCCCGACCGCCACTCTGAGGGGATCTAGGGATGGACCGGGGGGTCGGGGAGGAACCCTGGCGAGAACACCTGGGCAAGTGGGTCACGTGGGCTTCGTTTCTTTCCTTAAAAAAAAAAAAAAAAAAAAAGGATTGCATGCCCCAAATAAGCACACAGTAATGCAGTACTTCACTTAAATATGAACCTATAATAATTTAGTGGATATGCACAGATAAATCATACTCATTAACTTTTACAGAGACATCTCTTAGAACACAAGGCAACTCTTAAAATTACAAACTGTACAATCATTAACATTCACTACTTTCCTACTCCTACTTTAGAAAGAATATAATAGACTTTTGTACATCAAAGGGTTATATAGTAACGTATGTGAAAGGCCACGGAAATCTCTGAAAAAAATGTCAGTTACTACCTGACTACTGAGACCTTCGTAGAGGCAGGGTGCTCGAGATAATATTTCATTTTGCTTGTTTTGATGTGTTAATACCTTTTTCTCTTTCCTATGACCACTTTACATAATGCGAACAAATGTTAATGTTTATTAAACACATAAAAATAAACAAAGGCATATACATTCTATTTTGAAGGGTAAAAACATTTGTGACTTTCAGCATGAATATGTTAAATTTGCACCTTAGATACCGACCTCGTCATTATCATTGGCCTAAGGCTATTTTTTTCCCAAACAGAAAATCAAAGTTTGAGAACAATATTTGGGGATCTTAGTTGCCTGAAGGAAGAGCTACCAAAAATCCACTGCTACCCATGGAGAAAAGGAAATTCTCCTTTTTCTATGAATTTTCAGGAACACCCAGGCATTTACTGCAAATCCTATTAAGACCGTAGCTCTCGCAACCAGGCTGGGGGTGGGGGGCGGCGGTGTCTGGTGGGAGGAGGAGGAGAGCCCTGCCCTCACAACCCCGGCCTCCACCTCAGGGGCAGGCGTCAGTTTTCCAAGATTAGAATAAAGTGACAGCCTCATAGCCAGGTGAGGAAGCGACACTGTGCTCAAGGTGAGAACGTCACGAGCCGCACAGGCACAAGAAACGGGATCTGTACGGGAGTCTGTTTTCCCTAAAAACCCACAGTCCCCGTCAGAACGCAAGCAAAGCGAGCGTTAGTGAAGGTGAAGAACAGGGAAAAGAACAGGCAAACGGGGAATAAACGAAGCTTAAACAAAACGCAGAGTCTTCGGATATGACATAAATGGGGCCAACGTTAAGAACTAAATTCTTCAACTACAGCGTTTGCTTTGAAGACACACGCGCACGTTTGACAACTGCGGTCTGGGTCAGAAAAAGAAGAGCCGAGCAGCCCCGGAGCAGCGGGGCAGGGGGCACCTGTCCCGTCCCTGGGCGAAACGGGGGCGAGCTCTCCGGCGTCGGGCAATCCGGCACCTTCCCCTGTCGCTTGCCTGAGCCAAGAAAGCGAGGACTGTGGATCGGGACGTGCCCGCAGGGCGGTAGGAAGCTGGGCCAGTGAAGGCTGTTTCCAGGCTCCGCGTCCCGGGGCAGGGGCAGGCGGCCGGCGGGGCGGGAGGGGCAGAGAGACGGGCCCGGCGCAGCCCGGGGGGCACCTGGCACTGAGGTGCACAGGTGCAGGGTTGACGGAAAGCAACGGCGACTTCCCCGGCAGCCCTGGGAAACCCGCGGATCCGTCGGGGAGGGATGGGTGTGAGAGGCCGGTGACCGGCGGGGAAGGACACACGCTGGCAGCGGACAGTCAGCCCGGCACCCACCGGAAAGGCACAAAAACGAACCCGCCGACCGCCTGCAGATGGAGGGGACAGAGGAGGAGGGCAATGGGGTTTTCTATAAAACTAAACTTAAAATGTCAAATAACTGAATGGGCAAGAAAGCCTTTGCTTGGGAGCTGCTGGAGGTCATTACAAAAAGTTACATACTTTTAACACTGCGGCTTGGAGCTGCGGCAGGATTCTTCACATTATAAGCCACAAACTCCTTGATACTAAATATGCATGTTTAATATTTCAACTACATACATCCCCCCAAAATACTGAAATGTAAATCTAAGCATGCTGCTCAGCTCCTTGAGTGCCACGTTTCCAGCGGTGTCCTTACGTAAACAGCAGGGACCGAGTCTCGCGACCCCAATGCGGCTAGCGCGTGTTGGGCCGGTTGGCACGGCGCCGCGCGGCTCAGGCGAGGAGGCCCGGCCGCGCCCACGCACCCCGCGGCGCCGCGTCTGCGCCGGGCTCCACGCCGAGCAGGGCGGGCACCTCGTCACCCCCACCGATCCGTCCTTCCTCCCCACCGGGCACAGAGGCCGACCGTTCACTGTTCGGGGAAATCCAGGTACGGGAAACGCGGCACTGTGCTTCCCCGCAACGCAAACTTAGTGACTGTGTAACGACTCAGCAAGTTCTCCAAAGCCTGCGACAGCGGCGGCTGTTAGCACCAGGCTCCAGGACATGGCCACCGAGGCGGCCGCCCGGGGAAAGGGCTCGCTGCGGGCGACGCGCTGTGACAGGAACCCGACCCCGCGGGGGCCCGGGGACTCGGGGGCGGGGAAGGCAGGCGCAGCACCGCACGGAGCCTGCGAGAGCGCACGGCTGCAGGTAGCACGGGACTGTTTTACTACCGCTGATACCACGTCATCTTAACCTCCTGACACGAGTAAAAGTAAATGACATTTAAAAAACCCAGAGAAAGTCTAATATTAAGGGAAAATAGCTAACAACTGAAAATGCTCTCTGCGCTTTTTAAGAATATACTAAGACAGTTATTTAAACATAGAAAATCTTTCATTACGTGGCTTGCCTTATCTAGCTATCAGAGAAACGTGTTATGTGGTGTATGTACTCTAATAATAAATGTGTTCTAAAATTTCTCCTGACCAAAGGAAGACGGATTGTCTAAAGTTCCACAGTTTCATACTGTAGATATGAAATTATCTTTCAAGATAATGAAAAGAAAAATTTCTGCTTACATTCTGCTATTATGGAATATATGACTAAGTTAATTAGTCACTTTCATCTTATCAGAAGTTATATACAGAATTTTTTCAACACTGTAGCTTACAATTCAGCACTACATTCCCTGCACACATTTGAATGAGAAAAAAAAAATAGACCCACTGAAGCATCTTTTATATGGTTAGATCTGTGTTGCTGTTTTGTTATTTTTTAAATGAGAGGCGGGACAATATCGATCAAGGGTTGGGACATCTGGTCTCATCTCACCTGTGCCACTAACGAGGCACAAACGCACAAACCAGAGCAAGCGCGGAACAGGAGGCTACGAACAGCCCTTGCTGGAAAAGCACAGGACACAGGTCGCCTTATACTTTGGTTTGACTTCAAAAAACACAGACGGACACAGCCTCAGGGCCAAGCGACTGGCTGCCACTGCCCCTCCTACTCCCGCCGCCCAGGGGGCGCGCGGCCACGCCGCCGGGCGGGCCGAGCAGGCCGAGCTTACTCAGGGCTGAGGGGGTTACTGGGGCGCAGCTCAGAGCGGCTCAGCGGCAGACCAGCACCTCTACAAAAGTCATGCGGTAAATAAAAGTTGTCACCTGTTACGGGCGACTGCTAACACGGAAGGGCTTGCGTTAACGCGAGGGAAACCCAGGAACCTGCAGCGTCGCCGGGGTCTGCCCCGGCCCGTGTCAAGCGCATCACAGCGCCGGCCCTGCTGGACGTCTACCCGGGCCCGCCAGGCCTCCGCCAGGGACGGGCAGCCGGGCTCAGCGGTGCTGGGAAAACGACGCGGCGTGGCCACTGCCGCCTTCAATAAACACTTGCGGCGGTGGCCGAGAGGCAGAATTAGAGAGCAGCTCCTTCCCAGGGCACCTGTTTCTTTCAAGACAGGAGGAAAGGTAAAAATAAAATGTTCGGAGTAGCCCGCAGCGCAGACCACACACAGCTGCCCTGGCAGCTCCAAACCGCGCGGGCGGCGGGAGCGCGCGCCCGCGGAGGCGCCGGGCCAGGGGCGGGCCAGCCGCCGCGGGACCGCAGCTGTTCGAGGCCGCTCGTTTCCCGAGCTGACATCAGAGCACGTGTCACACTCGGAAACGGTGTGCGGAGCGTGACCGTACCCTCGGGAGATCCCGGCACGGAAACGCGCATGCTGGTCGGAAGGCAGCCCTGCGCCGCTCGGCTGGCGCGGTCGCCAAGCCAGAGAACAGCGCGCCGCCCTGGGAATGGCGGGGAGCGGTTCCATCTTTACCGCTGACAACAGCCGCCCCCGAGGGGTTTCGAACGTTTGTCAGCGCGGGGGCCAGTACCAGAGCACTCTGGCTGGCTTAAAAAATCCACTCACTCTATTTTCAGCCTATGGAAGCACACAGGGTAACTAAAGTCACAAAGGTGCGTGCAAAGAGAAAATTCTCCATGTTCCCCCTTCTGGGGGACACTATGAAAGCAAGCGAAACTCCATACTGGAACCTTATCAATCTACCTCTCCCACCTGCTTTGTCTCCCTTCACAGGTGAGCGCGCAGACTGGAAGCACTCCGCCCTAATCCTCCACGGTACTCGGTGGAAATAGATTTGCTGTGACAGCAGATAACCACCCCAGTTACTGGTACACACCTTCGGAGTATACCATGTGGTGTGACGTTACAGCAGATTAATTTTTCTAAGTTTTGTTAAGGTCACTTTTTACCTGCTCCTCCGCTTCAGTCATGACGGAGTGGGCCACTCAGGCGCAGGGTTGCTACTGAGAAGAGAAGCCCCTTGAGAATGAAATAAACTTCTTTATTTAAAAAAAAAGAACTAATAATAAACAGTAATGATAGAAAAGGGGTTGTTTATAAAATTTAGATTTTGCCAAATGTGGTTATTTTCTTCCTTAAAAAATAAGTGTACATCACAATGCAAATAAAGGGTCAACCCAACACGAGGATATAACATTTGTGGGAGCCCCACAAAATATGCATCTATAAAGCAAATATTAACAGGGAAGAAAGGAGAAAATGGACAGCAGTACAATAATAGTAAGGGACTTTAATAGCCCGCTGACATCAATGGATGGATCATTCAGACAGAAAATCAATCAGGAAACAACGGCCTTTCGACAACACAATAGACCAGGCGGACACACCCCCTGTTCATGAAACATCCCATCCAAAAGCATCAGAATACACATTCTTTTCAAATGCACACAGAACATTCTCCAGGATCGATCACATGGCAGGACATAACCAACTCTCAATAAATTTAAAAAGACAAAAATCATAGCAAGCATCTTTACCGAACAAAAGGATATAAAACTAGAAATCAATTACAAGGAGAAAATTGGAAATAACACAAGCATGTAGAGATTAAGCAATATGCTATTAACAACCAATGGATCAACAAAGATATCAAAGGAAATCAAAATATATCTTGAGACAAATGAAAATAAAAGCACAACACTCCAATATCTTTAGTAAGCAGTAAGAGGGAAGTTTATAGTGAGAGAGGCCCACCTCCAGAAACAGAATCTCAAATAACTTTACAGTGAAAGGAACTAGAAAAAGAAGATTAAACAAAGCCCACATTAGCACAAGACAGGAAATCATAAAGATTAGAGAGAAAATGAACTAGAGTCAAAAAATAGAAATCACCAATGAAAATAAAAGCTGATTCTTTGAAAAGAAAAGCAAAATTGATAAACCTTTAGCCAGGCTCATCAAGAGAAAAAAGAAAAGGCCAAAATGAATAAAATCAGAAATGAAACAGGAGAAATCACAACTGATACCATAGAAACACAAAAAATCGTAAGAGATCACTATGAACACTTATTCGCCAACAAATAGTACAATCGACAAGAAATGAATAAATTTCTAGAAACATCCAATCTTCGAAAACCTGCCTATGAAGAAAGAGAAAACCTGAACAGATAGATTACTAGTAATGAAATTGAGTCAGCGATCAAAAATCTCCCAACAATCAAGAGATCAGGTCCAGATGGCTTCACAGGTAAATGCTACCAAATATTTAAAGAGGATTTTAACATCCTCCAAATTATTTTAGAAAACTAAAGACAGACCAACACCTCCAAACTCACTCTATAAGGTGAACATTACCCAGACACCAAAACCAAAGGCACAAAAACACACACATACGCATATACATACAGGTTGCAATCCAGGAAGGACGTAGAATGGAAAAATCTTCAACAAAATACTAAATTCATCAAATTAAAAAAATACATTTAAAAAAATCATAAGCATGACCAAGTAGGATTTATTCGATGGCTGCAAGGACATTTTAATATCCACAAATCAACCTGATATCCCACATTAACAAAAGATAAAAATCATATAATCATTGAAATATATGCAAAAAAAAAAGCATTTGGCAAAACTCAATACCAATTTATAGCAAAAACTCTCAACAAAGTAGATATAAAGGAAAAACACCTCAACAGAATAAAGCCCTTCATGTATCACAAACCCACAGCTAGTATAACAGGAAAAAGCTGGCAGCTTTTCCTCTAAGGTCAGAAACAAGACAAGGACACCTATGTTTGCCCCTTTTACTCACATTATTAGAAGTTCTAGCTGCAGCAATCAGACAAGGCAAAAATATATAAAAGTCACCCAGACTGGAAAGGAGGAAGTAAGACTGTCACTTATTGCAGATGACATGACGCTATACACAGAAAACCCCAACGATTCCACCAAAAAGTTACCAGAACTAATGTACGAATTCATTAAATTTGCAGGATATAAAGTTAATATACAGAATTTCATTGTATTTCTATATATTAATGACTAGATATCAGATGTAAATAAATGGATCACAGGCTTGACTGTAAGACCCGAAAGCATAAAACTTCTAGAAGAAAACACGGGCTGTAAGCCCTTCGACATCAGCGTTAGCAGCACTCACGGCCTGCCTCCTCAGGCCTGCCTCCTCCGGCAAGAGCGACGAAAGCCCAGGAAACAAATGGGACCAGGTCAAACCGAAAAGATTTTGCACAGGAAAGGAAACCATCAACAAAAAGAAAAGCTAACCTACTGAAAGGGAAAAGGTATTTACACAAGATTTATCTGACAAGGGGTTATCATCCAAAATAGATAAAGAACTCATAAAATAGATTTAAGAAAAAACAATCCGATTTAAAAAATGGGCAGGGGACCAGAACAGACATTTTCCCAGAGGGGACATACAGAGGCCAACAAGCCATAAAGAGATGCTCAGCATCAACAGCTGTCAGGGGGATGAAAACCAAACCACCTGGGACCCCACACCTCGCTCTTCCGGAACGCCTGCGGCTGGGGACACTGACCGCCGGATCGGGCCTGTCCTCGCGCATTCTGCCCTTGCATATTGTGCATCAGCCTTACAGATGTAACAGGTGTTACGCGTATGTCTCCATCTTTCAATTTTATGATAAGAACACATCTGCCCCTTGAATCAAGCTTCTTGGTCGTCTAGGGAAGTGGCTTTCAAATTTCGTGACGATGACCCCCCAGTAACGCTGAGACCCGATGGGAACACACGCTGTCACTGATCAAAGGTTTCAAGTACCAGTGTTTGCTATTGCGCCTGCAGTGCATTCTGATACTGTCGGCTCTGTTATATTTTATTTCACTAAGAATGATGCTCGCTGCGACGCACTACATTGATTTCACAACTCATTAAGGGGTTATGACCTGCCTGGGAAACACTGCTCAGTGACGGCAGGACTTTCGTGCCGTTCCATTTCCGCAGGGACAGCACCTTAGAAAGCACAGGGGCGTCTTCCTAAGGCAGGTGCGAAGTGACTGGGGTGCGGGAGAGGGGCCCGAAACCAGAGAGCCCGCGCCTCCGTGCAGACAGCGGGAGAGCTGGGGGCCAAGGACAGTGCGGGGGCTTCGAGGCTTTGCTTTTCAGCTTTGAGGATTTGAACATCCAGCAGCTTGAGCTTTAATATTTGTGATGTTTAACACTGCATGCAGAAATTATTCTATTCTGTGCTGACACACATTGTCTTTAAAGAACTCATTTTGAAAACTGGAAACATGGCCACCTATACAATTTTATCCACTACCGAAAACATGAGAGAACAGATTTTATCGTGTGTTGATTTGTGCTCATGGAGTCAAATAATACAAATAAGAGATGCAAAGTAAATACACCATTTAAAAATTCAGAGCCTTCCCAATCTCTTAAGGATTGATGCATATGTAAAATTTGGTGGTGTGTGTCCCTCTTAATCAATATTAGAAAACAGTTTCCTTTAGTTGATGTTTGAAAAACAAACTGTGTTTTTTTAAAAAACAGAGTATAATCATTACAAGATGTTTCTTACCTTTTGGAACTAAATTCCTAAAGCTATCTTTACAAAGTTAAATAAAATTTGGCTCCAAGATAGACTTCATTTACGCAAGCTTATTCAGAATTTTCTTTGTAAACTTCATACAGATCTGGTTTATTCATAGTTTCACTAAAATCTAGACCTGCTCTATGGATAAACCATGCCCTAAAGATTTTAACCTCAGTAAAATTTTTTAAAAAACCATACAATAAAACCTATTGTCCTACCATATTGTCTGTAAGCAGGTTTATTTTGTATAGGTGGCCACCAACTCTTAAAAGCAGCCTCCTAAATTTGCTCTTAAAAACATACAATAACAACAGACGAGGCTCACAATTCTTTAAAAGCAAAAGATCAGAGTCAACTTGTCAACAATGATAAGTCGCATCCGGGCTTCTCCCCGGGTTTGGTACATACTCTTTGTCGGCACAGAATCCTTCCTGACGCTTCTCTCCCTGGCGTTCCAGGTAAAGGGAGGTTAATGGCGAGAGGTGAAACCGGGTTTGCTCGTTAGCACCGCCCTGGTCCAGCCGCCGGGGCAGCGCCCCACCCTCGGATCCAGAGCGTGACTGGGGCAGCCCGCAGCGGGGGGTTGGGGGCAACTCACCCGCTCGCCGGAGGGGCCCCTCCTGCCCGCTCACCTAAAGAATGTGCCGCCGTGGTTTTGGAGCTGAAGAAGCGGCCCAGGCCCAGGTCCCCAAGCTTGACGACGCCAGTGGCCGTGATGAACACGTTTGCTGGTTTGATATCTGGGGACAGTGAGGCCGCGGGGGAAAGGTGAGGTCAGTTCAGCCATTTTCAAGGGTTAAAAAACACTTTTTATGGTAGAATTTAAAGTGTCCCCTGAAAATAAGTCTGCCTGAATTTTGAAGCAACTACTTTACTTTGGGTAATTTTTCTGTATCTTAATTTGTCTCTCCAAAAACTGTGTTCTCAGTCCTCGGAGAGACAAATAATCACTAAGGCAGCGTGATAAAGGTCAGGATTAATTTCCATTTACAACACATTTCTGTTTCCCATTTTCCCATTCAGGTAAACTTGTAAAATTTGAAACACAAAATAAATTCGTGCCCCTTTTACATCAATTTTAAATAAAATATTGTATTCAGTATTAATGTATACACATATTTACATAAAATATAGAATAACTCTACATACATATAATTTACATAGACATCCTTAGAAATCTTCATTGCTTAAATAAATATTAAATGTTAAATCACATTTTTCATGACCGAAATTCAAGGGGTCAATTGCTGAGTGATGTAGCCTTCGCATCATGTCCAACCATTTGACTAATCACCAAGAACATACTGACAACGAATGCTGAAAATTAAAAATCTAAGCAGCCATAATATATGCTGTTCATTTGGTTAAAAACAAAAACAAACAAACAAAAACCAACCTCTTATGTTTTCCTGCATCTGGTTTTTTTCTTTACCTACCAAATCCGTAAGATGCTCAAGAGAGTCAAGCAACAAAATAACGAATCCTCATTCTTACTGGAAACGAGGGAGGGCTTCCCTCAAAGGCTCATCACTCGAGCGCACCGGTACCCGGGAAGCAAGCCACTGCCCCCCACCCCCGCCAGGAGGCAGCCGCTGCAACGCAACGCAGCCAGCCCGGCCCCTGAGCCCGGGACGCCACTCACCTCGGTGCATGACGCGGCGGGAGTGCATGTGCTCCAGCGCGCTGCAGAGCTGGACAAAGTACTTCCAGACGGTCCTCTCCGGGATCAGCCGCTTTTGTTTCTTAAAATGCTTTTGAAAATGAAAAATAGAATGATGAGTACAAAAACTCCTTAGGACTAGATTCTGACATGCAAAAGCCGTGAGTGAGAAAAACACCTACTTTATCTCCCTAATACCAATGAAAAAGTCTATGGTTTTCCAGTGTGAAATGATTTCAAGAATTTTACCTGACATAATAGCTTTGATTTCTCCCACTTGTATCTAAATTGAGCACAGGCCAAAGAACGCTGTCTTTGCGATACCCAACTATTTCAAAATATTAACTGCTATATAAAATAGTTTCTTATCCTACAAGGAAGATGTCGAATTTCATGTGAGAAAAAGCAAGAATAAAAGAGTCTAGAAACCGGAAGGTAATTACGTTCATGAAAAGACAACTCTTCTGCTGATAGAGGTTTCACTACAGAATCCCTTTTAAATAAATATTGAACCACCTTGGTGATTTGAAATACCACTTAACTTATAAAACATTCAAGGGATTTAAGTAAAAAGTTCTCATGAATATTTCTATAGCACATTACAAGTCAAGCTTGCAGTTGGCTGAATGAATGAAACGAAACTCCACGGATGAGGAAAATCACAGGGAGGCGGCCAACGCTGCGCAGACGCCCGGCAGCTGGGAGAAAGGCCAGCGCCCCAACGCACTGGCCGCCGGCGGCACGGGCCGGCTTCCGCCTCCTGCGCAGCATTTGCCGGAGGGATTAACGAGCAACGTGCTCATTCGAGAACCAAGCGCTTGGTTGCATAAGAACCATAAAGATGTATTGTATAAATTCTTTTTCCAAAAACAAAAATGCAATTGGTTTGCTACTTAACAATATTTATTAATGACCAGTATGAAGCATGGAATTTAGACACGTTTTCGCAGAATTTTCCGATAACTTGTTAAAACGTACAGTTAGGAACAGATACCATTTTTGGAAGTTCAGCTGATGCGGCTGTTTGTTACCGAGTGTGGAGAAACTGTACTCCCAGATGCTTCCAGGACAAGTGCCTTGGTCACCGTTGGTCCCGGTGCCCAGCCAAGGGCAGGCTGGTGGGAAATCAACTCAGAGAAATCTGCCAATACCCCTCCTCCCCAGTTAGCAGGAGCGTCATGCCTCTGGTCTCCAAGCACGCGAGGCCGACATGCGACAGTTAAGTCTTTGTGACAACACGTGCCACAGCCACAGACTTATTAGCACTTCCAGTGGCAGTGGCATCAGCAGCCAACAGTGAGTACCAGTGAGATGACCAGGCACTAAAGGGCCAATCGGAGCATCGCTAAAATGTTACAAACCTCCCGCATCATGTTTCAGCACCCAGTATTTCTAACTGCGGGCTGGGTCAACACCGGCTTTGTTCTAGGGGGCAAGGCCGCACTCGCTGCTGTACCCAGAATTTCCTGGGGGCCTGGGACGAGTCCAGGTGAAGGCCGTCTGCGTGCGCACCCTGGCGCAGAGGAGCCTATCAGAGGGCTGTCTGGCATCAACAGGACAGGGACCAGGGATCTTCTCATTCAGGAAAAAAAACTATGTTGTGTTAGTATCACACCATGGGAGAGAAATTTTGTTCTTTAATATAGACTCTAAAATCATCATAATTACAATTATCTTGGCAGTTTACTCTCTCAAAGTCCCATTATTTTAAAAATTCATCAAATCTATAGGACACGGCAGAATGAGACAACTGCCCTCAAAATGCGCATCGGGGAAGCTGGTTTTCCCGGGCCCACGTGGCCTGAGCGTGCACGGCCTTACGCTCCTCTTCGGGACGTTCTCTTTGGACACGCACCGCAGGGACTGACAACAGCTCGGCCTCCATCTAACGCAGCCTGGACAGAAGGACCTGCTGGAGCCTAAGAGTCCAAATTCGTGACAGGCTGTTGAAGAAGAATTTTATAAATCTGATTTGATCATAAAATAAATCAAAGGCGGTTTCATTGCGTCTTTGGTATCTCCCAATATTTGTATGCGCCTGTTTAAACACATGCTTTTGGCTGCCGGTCCCTTCGGTGCGGGATTCCGCTGTGGAGCCGGCCGGCCGGCCGCATGAGGAGCGAGCCTGGCCGCTCTGCTGGGGGCCCCGCTGGCTGCCTCCCAGAAAGAGGGGGCCGAAGAGGCGGCAGGACCCGAGCTCTTCGTTCGCTGGCAGCGCGCACGAGCGCCGCGGGGCGGGCAGGCCCGCCAGGCCACCGCCCCGCGAGACCCGGGGCGGCGCTCCCGGAAGCGGGCGCGCACGTGCGCGTCTCTGGGAAAGCCTCATTCCCCAGCCCGCCGTCCGCACAGCCCCGAACCCTGTCCTCCCCGAAAACAGCCAGCCCGCCATACAAACTTAGCTCTAGAGTGGCGTGAGCATCTCACGCCAACGTGCAGAAATAAAAACGTGCACGTATTTGTCATGCACTCAGTCTTTAGCAAAATAATCAATAACACAACTAAAAGTTTTCAAGGTTAGTATTAGTAAAGATTTATGTGAATAAGATTATGTGATATGGCACCTTTACTATGTTTATGTTATGAAACAGAACTGTAACTGTCATTATAATTAAATATCTAAAAATTAATAAAGAGGCAGAAACGAGCACTCAGGTATACCTGGTCACGTGGACATAATTTTCATTTAATTCTTTTTTTTCAGTAAGCTACTCTTTTCTCTATGCAGAGCTTCAAAAACTATTTTAGAGCATATTTTCTATCTTCCATCTACACTATTTAAATAAGCTATTTAAATACGATTTTGGCAAAATAGTCAAATCTTTCTTTTTTTTTTTAATCATCGGACGTCCTCCCCTGCCCGATAACTGCCCGAGAGCAAACGCGCGCTCGGGGGACACGCGCACCCGAGCGCCCTCTTCTGGACTCAGCCGGACCAGCGCCTGCACCCGGGACGCGACACCGGCAGCGAGCACACGTGGCCTGCGGCCAAGCGCCCGTTAGACACGCACTGCTGTAGTCCGGACAAAAACAAAAAGCAGCAAGCGTGCTCCGGGCGTGCCAGGCACTTGGAAGGGGATTAGAGACGTGATAGAAACAGAGAGAAACAGGGATGTCACAAAAACTGGGACCAGGCAGCCGCCAGCCTCGGCCGCTTCCAAGTGTCACACCCGAGGGCGGGCGTGACGATGTGACTTTTGTTCAGGACGAGGGCAGATTTCCTGCTCGGGGGGTGTTGTCGCACGTCCAATGTGCCACTAACACAAGCCACGGCCCCTGTTAACCACAGAGCTGACTGGGAGGCTGGCAGGAGCTGGCTGTGGGGCCCGAGCCAGCCCCGCGTGGCCGTCTGGGGGGCTTCCGCCTGCCCCCGCGTGAGGCAGAGGGGTTGGAGGTGACCAGCCTGGGGCCACCACCTCGAAACTAGAGTCTCCAGTAGAGTAGACGCCAAGGCTCCACAAACCCAGCTGCAGCTAACGTACGTTTCCGCACTTAAAACTTGTGATATTTTACAGGAATATAGTATCCTCCAAATCTCCAGTTAATAAGAACAAAGGAAATAATAATAATGATGATTATAGCTCAGAGATGCCCACAGGCCCAGTTAGTGCTATAAACGGTCTTCACACGAGAAGACAGGTAGTTAGAGTCCTTTGTTCTTTGTTATAAATTTGTAATTAGGTCAAACATTTACCATCAGAAGGGATGTTACGTTCCCAGACAAACATACCTCTGTAATTACAATGCACTTTTAAGACTACACGTTCTGACGTGGTTATTTCAAAGAATTAAGTGCACAGAGACGGGGCTATGGAAAAGACAGGGTGCTTCGGAAAGCAAAACTGACAGTTCTGAGTGTGATTTTTATTAAATATCCCTCCTTTTATGGAAACATTTTTCTTCAGAGACATGAGTTCTCACCATGTTAAGCTGCACAAATATTTGCTATACACAATTTTGGGAATTACATAAACAGTAAAACAGTTATGTCTCAATTAGAATTTTGGTAAATAATCCTAATTTACAGCGTGTGAGAATTCTCGCTGTTGGCACTCTGCATAAAATTCGCGCATCCTAACTCGCTTTAGAAGGTGCCAAGCAGAGCAGGCCTGGCAGCCGTGAGACCGCCGAGCACGCTTCTCCCAGGCATCTGGTTTTCTCTGCTGTGATAAAATATTTCCACCCAAGCCCTGTAAGTGGAAAACCCACTGAGTACTCAGCTGCCTCCGCATTATAATTCATAATAGACTTATCCATGGAATCTCTCCATTCCCCAACTATATAGGTTATTAATGGAAGCTGAAAATATATTTCATCTTAACGCGGAAAATGTGAAACAGGTGAAGATTTTTCTGAGTGATTAAGCCTTGGAAAAACAAAAACTTCAACTATTTAGCAAACAAGGAAAATAAGTTCCTATAATGTCACAAAGTTCTCCCCCCACAAAAGGTGTCTTCTGAACACTGGGGCATTAACACCAAGGAATGAAGTCAAAATATCTTTTAAGTCAATAAAGAATGACTGAATACGTCCGAGTTACTTGCAAGGCGGGGCCCTGCCCGGAGAGCCAACACGTGGGAATCCCGCGGGCGCATCCTCTCCAGCGTCGGAGTCCGCGAGCCCGACACGGCCCTGCAATGTGTCCTCTCTGGCCACGTTACGCCGGACAGCATGCAGCTCGCTGGGAAGCGAGGCCAACACTCCTCACAAGGACAGCGCAGCGGGACAACGCTGAGAAGTCAGCCTCTTGGCAGAAACCCAGGCGGCAGGGAGGGCCGGGCCTTGGCCATCTCCCCCGCCAGCCCAGCACTTGGCGCGCCCGCTGCGCCCGGGCAGCTGCAGGTCACCCCGGCTGCCGACACGAGGGGCAGAACGCTCCCTGAGGACGGCCTTCTCGTCCTCCCCAAGCCAGCAAAGCTCAGAACGTGTACACCCCCCCGTCGCCGTGCTCACAGGGTGGCATCATGGTCGTCACAGTCCGTCAGCTTCAAGTTACTAAAGCCCTTAAGCTCCGCACTCCCTCACCACCAAACTGCTTAAGGAGCGGAGGAGCCCTGAGCGCCATCGGTCCGTATCGCCGCGCCTATGAGACTG